GCGGTTCAGGTGTGGAAAAAAAAAAAAAGAAAAAGACAAGAAAAGTTAGTCCTCAACAAAACTGTATTCTTTGCTGTATTCCCAATAACAAAACCTTGTTTATCCTGTTACTCAGTATTATTTCTCTCTCAAACTGCTTCCTTTCCACCGCCTGCACGTTGTGAAGTCAATTCCAAACGATCAGCACACGGCATCACCAGCAACGCTAGCTCGTTGGAGATTCATGGCGGTTAAGTAAGAGAAATTTAGTGTACCAGTGCCCGAAATCTTTCCTGCCTTCCCCTCTGGCCCTGAAAGGGATTGGGAGCCGGAGTTGTAATTACAGGGGAGTTGTCGCCCAGCCTGCGACACGTCAGTCTGCAATGCCAGGTTTGCTCTCATCTGCTTAAAGTCAGTCATATCCTCCATTACAGATGAGGAACAATTTAATTATATTAATTTTAAACATGGTAAGTCCATCTTCAGCCATAATGCTGTGACCTGACGTGATACTGCACAGATTTGCTATTGAATTATGGGGTTTTCTTCAAAAATACACTTCATGGAATATTTTAACTTTTTGAGAAAACGTATCAAAAATCTCACAGGAAGAAAAATTAGCTCCATTAATTCTGCACTTTGCAGAAATTCATTATGCAAAACCTGTTCTAAAGGCCCCTTCAGATGCCCTTTTTAACTGATGACTTTAAAGTAAGCATAAGTTTTCCGATGGGTTTGTTCGACAGTCGATGAGATGTATGCTCACGAGGCAGCTAAATGTGGCTGCTTCTTCAAGTCACAAGCCAGGCTAATGAACACTAGCAGAGAAAGCTAATTTTTTTTTTTTTTTTTTTACCTTAATTCTAATATACCAATTGAGTTTCCAGAGGGAAAGATCCGTCTGACAAAATTGAAGTCCCCAATATAGATGCTACCATCAGGCCCAGAAGCAAGAGCGACCGGGGCAAAGAGTTTGCTGTTGAGCGCGAGACCGTTGCAGTTGGAGCAGGAGACACTTCGCTGGTGACCGTTGCCCATCACGGTTGAGATGACTGGTGGCTGCTGGGAAATGAACATGTTTTCACCATTTCCTTTGTGTACAATTCCTAAGGGGAGGGGGAGAAGAAAACAGAGACAAAAAAAGCACAAATGTATAGCATTTAAACTATTCTGCAGTTCTGGATTATGCAATCGTCTAGAAAATCACATTACCAGAGCAGCAACAAACATCAGATCTTTAAAGGCTGTCACAGGGTTCCACTAATCTCTTCCAATTTTGTTCAGTCCCAAGCTTCACCATCACCATTTTGTCGATTAGTGGTTAGTGGCTATTTTAAAAGCCAACATCATGAGGAGAACTCATGGTTGGTTAATGCTCTAACAAATTGACTGTTAATTGCAGTGCTATCTGATTTCTTGGGGATTACTACTTTAATATTCATTTTATTCATAAATTTTTATTAGGTAGCAGAGGAATTTCTTAGGCAGTTTGAATATTTAATTAAAGGAGATTAGTAGCAGGCCTACTATGCATTTTTCACAAAAGAGCACTGAGTGGCAGTACAAAATCAATATTCCAATTTAAATGTGAGTCCTTCATGGTATATAAAAATGGTGCCAAGTGCAGCAAAGCCAAGTTAAGAGTCAAGGAGTAATTCTGAGGCACAAGTGAATTTCTTACCAGCAAGAGTATATTAAGTTCTGCCATAGAGTGTAAAACAACTTTCCAGTGTGTTAGTATTCTAGCACTGCTCTGCAGCATACGGTGTTGAAGGTCTTCCCAATTACTAGGCTGGTGATACCAGAACCAGTACAAACGTGTGTTTTATCAAGCAGATAGCTGTAGTGTTTATTTTAAATAGCAATGTGGAAATACAATTAAGGAGTACCTCTAAAATGGCATGTTACTGTAAAATTTTGGTGATTTCTGAACGGAAGAGAGGCATTCTTCTAGACCACAGTGCAAAATCTCTTATTTTCCTTGGAAAGCCCAGTACTTCATCAGAAAAGTGACACAATTAAAGGAATAAACACAAGGGAATATACTTTCTGGAGAACTCTTACACTGGGAAATGAGCATTTTCTAAATATTGCAGGAAGTACATGTTGAGACACATCTGAGTTTTCCCGAAGTACGACAAATTCATTTATGTACTGTCTCTACCAACTTTTGTTAAATTATTTTTTTGTGGCTTTCAGGTAAGTCTGAAGCTAAAATTCTCCTCGGAAATTACTGAGTCTTGCCATAGCTATTTTAAAGGGAATTATATTTTTAAAAATTGATTTCTGAACAACAGAGGACAGAATACATATATTTGTTTGAACGTTGGCTTAAAAAAAAAGCATCCTGGAAATACGCCAGTAAAATTAATCACAATATCCTCCCTTATGCACCGGATAAAAATACTACTAAATGAAGATGCTGCCCTTTGTCTGAAATTAACAATGTCAAGGTAATCTTTCAACTGCCTCATACAAATGCCAGTAAATAATTAGGGCTCTGGAGAATACGTTTTGCTGTCAATAAATGTAAGCATGCGCTTAATTTCAGGCTTTTGAGCCGCTGCTTTAATTTTAGTCGGTGCTGTGTTGCACTGGGGCTGAAATTACCGTAAAGCATAAAGTCCCTGTAAAATTACTCCTCTTTCCCCCAGATAAATAAAAATGGAATCAATACACTTGCCCATCAGAAAAAAAAAATCTAATTCAAAGAATACTCTGAAAAATCGGTTAATAGCACATTCACTTGTATTCATGAGATATAGGTGTCTTTAAAAGGATTCTATACAGGAACTTGTATTTATGGTATGGGTTCTCTTCTTGATTATGAAAAATGCCCCGAAGATCTTCGAAACGGACCAAAATCTTTGTGTTAGAAAACATTAAAATCTAATCATGTCACGAAGTAGAAGTAATCAAACCTCTGAACTGGAGGGAGGGGAAAAAAAAAAAGGTGGGAAAGGAGCAGTTTAGTATAGCTGAGCACAGGATGCGATCCTTTGTTAACCTAACAGTCGTACTGATGCAAAAGCATATACATTTGAGTTTCCCATGACAGCCGCTTTGGAACAGTGTATGTTATTTCACATCTATGCTGCTGGAATCGGACATCTTTTTTTTTTTTTTTTCCTTTTTTAAGATACACCTGGCAATAGAACCCAGTTTTTACTTGCAATGGTTTCTGCACGTCAACGCTTGAATCTCCACAGCTTAGACTGTGCTATGAAGTGCAATTCTGTAAAATTGCATCTATTCATTTTCACAACTTTTCTATTGCACTTAGCTTATTTTGTAACATCTCTAAACTGGCCAGCCTTTACATGGAGGGAGGTAAGCATATCTACCCCGTCTCTGAGTAGGAACGATGTGCACAGCAGCAGACCTGCTGGAAGACAAGGCTTAGTGGCTGAAGTTAGATATCAACTCTTCAGGACTAGTTCATTAACCAAGCACAGTGCTTCTGGCTTTAGTTTGAAAACACAATTATAATTTGCAATTGAGAATTTTTAGAAAGACATTTATGTTATATCGCAATGCTATTTCTGTAGTTAATCCAGTGACAGCGCTTCAAAAACAGATGCAAGTTTGATGCTTCTAAAAAGAGCAGCTCTTCATACATACAGAGGCAATTCTTTAATTAAAAGTGAAAAATCTCAATACGGTCATACTCGAGAAGGCTACTCATGCTTTTCATTTCACTCACGGTGGTGTGGAGATAAGTCTGAAATGTACTATTCTAAGTTTGAATCACATTCTTGTCCTTATTTAAAGTACATTTTATATATTTGCAATGGACGAGCAGTTCACTAGTTTCTAGATAAAACCAGAGGCACGCTCGTTATTTTTATCCTTTTGGTTAACACAGTTCATTATTCGGTTTTGTTGCTTTAATACGAGCCTACAGGGAGCTCTATTAGGTGTGCATTAACTATACATTGTTTTTCTGCTCCTAACTGCTTTTCTCGTTCCTATACACGAGCCAGGCGTGCGTGCTCAGAGCCCAGTATAACCAGGAGGAACATCCGAGCCATCCCTGAGCTCTGGCTGGGCTTTGTCACCCTCGCTGGAGATGCTCCCACGTGCAAACCGTAAACAGACGAGATGCACTGATTTCAAGTCAGACACGCTTATGCCCTCCCCTCCCCAGACTGTGTCTCTAAGCAATGGAGACAGATATTCAGCAGCTTCCCCCCGACTTCAGCCTTGATGATGCCCAGCGCAGCGGGAGCATGCGAGGAAGAGGAGCAGGTAGAAGCAGCTGCACGTTCCCCATCCCTGTTAGTGGGTTGGGGTAGTGGGGACAGCCTGGATGACTTCAGAGGAGGTGGCGTGTGGCTGACACCAGTGCTCTCTGGTGGACTCAGCCACACAGCTGAGACGGGGCCAGGAACCAATTTGTCACCATATACCCCGTGCTCAGGAAAGCAATGATTTAGTCTCGCTCAGATTATAATTGTATACTTTGCAAAATCTCCGAACACGTTAGTGCCTATGGGGTGAATTACAGCGGTAACCACTGCAGTTAGCAGATAGTCATATAAATTGGAGTTCCTGCCAGCAATTTAGTCTTGAAATTAAACTGTGCAAGTGGTAAATTGGCACTAAGGAGGAGGCTATGGGGCTCACAGTTGGGGGCTGAGCTGACTGAGGTCAGATTTCTCTTTGTGTTAAATGTCAATAGCTGGCATTTAAAAGAGACAATCTATACAAACCAATAAGACGGGGTATGAAAGAACCGCTGTTTAAAATGTCAAACTATTTTAAATCAAAACAGAGATCCAGATAATTTACAAACTAAATCTGACCTTTTGTATTTGGAATATTTATACTGTAGCTGCGCATTCAACAACAGAACTTGTAAAAACCTGACAGCCATACATCTGTGCATGAATCTTCATTACACAGAAGTTTGCAGATGGAAATAGATTTTAGTGGACGGACTCTCAGCTGGAGCAAATTGAGAGGACTTTACTGAATCCAATACTCTGCTGATTTATAAGTCCTGATATCTGACCCCAAGTTTCTCTTCCCCTGGACAGTGAGATATCTGTTTATTGGCAAAACCATATTTTTCTAGTTACCATAATTTATCTACAAGTATTGTTTTAATAATTTAATCCCACTAAGTCCTGATTATAGATGTTAAGGCAGGAAAAGAAAAACCTCCAGGAATAAACCAAAAGCAATGAGAAAACAGATTCAAGTCTCCGTGCTTGAAGAATCTCTGTGCTTGACTCAGGGGTCTAGAGACTTCGCTGAGAATGTAACACCCTATAAACAGACGTGAAAGGTAGTACTTCGATACCAACCGTCTGAGAACGAACCTAAATTAGTACGCCCTTTTTCCATCCAAATGACCAAAATATATTAGTGACGTTAGTGTTTAACACCTGGGAGCCACAACATTAAAAATATCCTTTCAGATGGCATTTACAGTTCAGTTCTCAATAAGTGAGGGTGCACATTCAAGCAAAGAGGATTACACTTTAGGAAGTCTAATGCTTAAAATCTGAACAATTAATTCCTTTAAAATTTGTATTCTTCTTCTGCATGGGCAGTTAATAAAGGAAGGACTTACCACTTTGTGGATTTAATACATGGTGTTTGTTTATAGACCAGCCTCCCAGATTTGAAGCATCCATTTCAAAGCCTTGAAGGATTACTGTTCTCTTCTCCCACAGAATAAAGTCAGGACATGTTTCATATTCATATCCCACCGACACTGCAAACAAATAATTAAAGATCTATCAGTCTACCTTTTCCTCTGTGAACTACTAGGTAATTTTTCATTCCAGGTTTTGATATTCATCTGTCAAGTAATGATGCTACTAATTTTCCTCTTCCTGATTGCTATTGTGGAACGGTATTTTTTTTAAAAAGGGTTTTAAGAGATTAGTATGTTATTACAGCTACAGTTACTACTGTTTCAAAGCAGAAAATTTTCTGTTGTATCGGTTATGGATTTCTTAAGAGTATAAATCTCCTCCACTGACTCCTGACTTGATTGTTTATTGCATTTCTGCTAATTACCTGAATAGCAGCTTATATAGAAAAAACCCCCATGTTAAAACAAACTGGTTTTAATTTGTTTGCTAATTGCAAAAACTGTAGTTAGGCAGAAATGAATTGCCAAGCTGAAAATTTCTAGAATTAAACATTTATCTTAACAGGCTTGCACTTTACATGGCTCCCCTCTATGGCTGGCCACAAAATATCTGCTGAAAATCTTGAATTTCCCTAAGGATGATGGGTTTTGGGGGTGCTCAAACTGATCAAAAAACCTTTCCTTTAGTAGTCCAGTAAAACAAAAACCTCTTCAAAATTTAATTTTGGTATCTCTAATACACTGACCTCTTTTTTTTAAAAAAAAAAAAAGTTATTTATCTCCTCTAGTTAACCTTTTTAGATTTTATTGCAAGTCATTCATAAAAGAAGAATGTTATTTTGACACCAAATCCCAAAATTTGATCTAGGAAATATTGAGCTAGTTCAGCCTATCTAAAATAAAATTGTGTCTAAAAAATTTTTAATACACAAAATAAAAAAAAGTATTTTAAATCCCCCAGTTTTCTGACATTCTCAGTATTTTCTTCTCACTGTTTCTATGTAGCAGCTTTAGGTACATTTTACTTGAACCATAAATAGTTTTAATACCATCTAAATTCCATTCCTGGATGCAATCAAAATATTTTGACCAGCTATAGCAAGGAGCATTTGTGTTTGTAAGATAAATGTTTTACGGCAAACTGAAAGCTGTTCCTTACAGTAACTTTGCTTAGAGCTGCTTCATCATTTTAGCAGAAAGAACCTGTTTTTGCAGCTCAACTCTGACTTGTAAAAATCACATCTCCTTAAGTACTGTAAATATTCTATGTTTCAAACATTATAGCTTCAGTCTGAGGGTCCAGCAGCCACTCTGTCCAATTTTTCTGTTAGAGGAGCTCTTATGTCTAACATCAACAACGTTTCTGGGTAAGTCCCTGGGCTGAGCGCCCGATGGTGGGCATGGAGCTTCTTCCAGAACCGCCACGTCCCGTGCCGCGATGAGCCACCAAGGTTCAGTAACCGAACACGCTACTTTCTAGGTGTTAATGCAGAGAGAAGATAAAGGGCAGATTGTTCCTATGAAGCAATCTCAACACTTGCCACCTACACGTTAGCATCGTTACTCCATTCATGCACTTAACACGTTCAATCCTGGGTCAGACGCGCGTACTCAAAAGGAGTAAAGACCTCTAAGTCGCTCAGCCTTGCTCAGCGAACCGTTACAGACCCACAGGACAGTTCACCAGCTGCTGTAAGGTACCATGCTGATATCTGGGTCAAGGGAGCTATAACAATTTACACCATCTCAGAACCTGTGCCGATGGATCCTCAGTGGCACATTTACCAGGACTGTAGCTAACACTGTAAAGCGTCTGCTATTCCCCGCCTCTAGCTGATGTTTCTGAGCTGCCAAATACCCTCCAGAGGTTGTCATCCCCTTTCTTGAAAGTTCACTGTTCCCTGCTCGTAGTTATTGTGCATAGCTGCCCTTTTGTCCCTTCTCATCAGAGCGAGACACACGGACATACGCTCACTTCACCTGTGTCTACAACCGTGTTTCTATGCATACTCACACCTATTCATGGAAGAAGTCTATGCTCCGAAAAGGAGTATCTGTGTAATCTTACAGCAGGGTCTCCTGAAACATCTAACTGGAGGTACTGATGTACCACCCACGAAAATTTCCTATCAATCGTTTTGCATGCAAAGTAATCAAGGTGAAGCATAACAATTGTAACGTCAACCAAGCGACTGCAGTGTCACTTGAAAAAATAAGCATTTGGTTAGGGGCAGGTTCTGCAAAACGTGATTTTGGAAGTGAAACAACCATCTCAGTCAGCTTACCCTCATTTGGTCAAATTAATTTACAGCCCTTTTTTGATGTGACTGAGATTTCACTGCATGAAGGAGAACTGTAGTGACTGTTTTCTGGACACTAACAGCCAGCAAGTACAGGTCTCTGCAGTCTCAAAATGGATTTCAAAAGATTTACTGAAATCATCTGTACCAAAAATCTATTCTTTTCATACAACTATTTAGAAGAATGAACAATAATTTGTTAGCAGTGCCAGCATATCACAGTTTAAGGGCCATTGCCAAAATACAGGTAAGAAATAAAAGACACGATTAAACAGGACAGTAACCTCTACTTCAACCTCTCCTGACATACCCGTACTTATCAGCATCTTGCTGCTTTGAACAACGAATATAATGAACTCCACCAAAGTGACAAGTAGAGTAATAAACAGAGAAGACCTAAGACGATTCTGCTTGAGAGTGGGTTTATATTCCCAGCCAGAAGGGTTAGTCCTTGCACACGACTTCATGCTGCTCTGTGGGATGCAAGTGCTTGCAGGAATAAGATCGAGCATGTACGGAGATATGCAGGAGCATCTATGGAGGTTTCTACTGAAATCTTTCCTCTTCCTATGTTAAATTACAAGGGGACATAGACTTTACCACCAAGGTTTTGTGTGTCAATGTCCACGTGATGTTTTTTTATTCTGAACAAAGAACGTTACGTCTATCATCTCAGCTGATACTCTGAGAAGAGAAAATGGCCTCTTGTTAGGGACTTGGGGACAAAACACCAGCAAACATTTCTGTAACAAATTTAAACAGAACCACTTGTGTGTGCAAATATGCTCAGAAAGTCTTCTTTTCTGTAACTGGTTATGTGATTGTTGCTGTCAATAACCCTGAAGAAAAATAAAGATGTTTATAGTATTTATAAAACCAAAGACAGATGGTTATATTCCTGAATTCCAGGACTTCAACCTGCTGCAATTTAATTTAATTAAAATGAAAACTGAACAGAATGCATTATTAAAGATTGGTAATGTACTGGCAGTGGAAATTATTTTGACAAAAATTCATATAATGGATGCATATAAAAGTCCCTGAGTACTACAGTGTGTCAGATTAAATAAAGCTTTATTGGAATCTAACAAAGCATGCTAACAATGCACTTAAAATATAAAGATTTTTGCTTCTGTTTTGCAAGAAGCATAATTAAACTAAACCTTAAATAAAAAAAAAAAAATAAGCACCAATTAAATAATTTAAAAGTTGTTATCCAGCACTATTGCATAAGCTTTATTCATATTTAAACATATTACGCTCATCTACTTCTAATTTAGGAATCTGTAACTACGGTATCATTTTGTAAGATGTTATGTATTTGATTTAAGTTGTTTTAAAGTCCAGACATGTACTGGACTTCATGATCATCAGAAGACTCTCAAATGATGCAGAGGGAGCAGGCATACGCGGCTGTTCCCTCTCAAACACGTCAGCGGCACCATGCAGTGTCAGACTGAATACGGGGCACGTGAAGTCGTGCCAAGGACAGCCTCAAGTGACACCCATGACCCGTCTGGTCCTGCCTGATCGCCCACGGCAGCACTGAAAGGCGCACTGGAACGAAAAGTTGTCCACCCTTCTGCAGATGTGAGCCAGATGTGGTAGATCAGATGCAGATATGATGACGCAGCAATTCAGGACACCTCGTGCTAAGGGTGGAGTTTTGATCGCTTGAGGCCAATGTAATGTGTGAGCTATGGCTGGAATGAGAAGACCTGCGCTTCTGCACTAGCATTTGGAGCAGATCGGGAAACTAATGAAGCTGATAATTTATCACTTATTTTCTGGTTGCTTCAGTTTTCAGCTGAATTTGTTCCTGATCTGGCTCATTTCATGATCAAATGAATGTGAGTGGTGGCCCAGGGGTAAGGAGAGAACATGGGAACATCCCTTCTGGCAGCAGCCCGCAGTGGTACCTGTTGAAGTAGACTGTGGGACCACAGTACCAGAGTAAGCTCCTTGTTTTCTGATATATTCCTATGTGCACTGTGCAATGTCAATCATACTCCATATTTTGGTCTCATGACCCTCTGTGGACACCAGTGGCTAGGCCTACATCATACCCTAAGTAGAAATGACTAGGAAAGTGCTAGAATCCTCCTTTCTCCCATCACCTCTCCATGCAGCTGTCTCACGGACTACCTGGCTGGGAGCACATGATAACACAGTCATGCACTAGATGCTCTGGGAGTTGCAGGCCTTGTGTAGCCTGGATGGCACCTTTTGGCTTTACACAGGCCAATTTGCCATCCAGAGGGACCTTGACAGGCTG